TGAAGTTTCAGGGTTAACTAATAAATATTGGTCTTGAAGTTTTATTTCACTGAAGGAATTGTTGTGTGTTTACTGTAATGGTGATTCATGGTGATGGCTTTCTGTATCCCAAGAGAACAGCATACGATCTAAATAGATTGGTAAAGCATGTCTACAATTAAAGTTGATGGGAATAAACTGCTGTCAGAGGGAGTAGTAATCTCTAGTGACTGTGCTTAAAAATCATCTAAAAGCTGCTCTATGCTTTCAAATTATGTAGTAAAACAGCCAAGTAGGCAACATCTCGTAGGAGGATCAGTGTACCTACAGGCCTGAATTTAATGCAATTTCCCTGTAAAGTAAGGAAATTGGAAATACAGGGTAAAAAAGACCATGTAAGTCCAAATCAGTCACATATTAGTTTGACTCGTGCTAATGGTCCATTATGTTTCCTCAAGGTACTGCCTGTAGTTCAGAAAGACAGGAAGTATTGAAATCTTTTGCTTCTGTACTTCGGTGAAATGCTTTCAAATTGAATTCTTTTTATTGCAATGGAATTGTTTTAGGAGCAATAAAGGCTAAAATAAAACTTCTTTACGATGAGGATGACATAGCACTGGAACAGGATGCCCAGGGAGGTTGTGGAGCCTCCTTCTCTGGAGATATTCAAGACCTGCTTGGATACCTGGATACTTGTGTGACCTGGTGTAGGGAACCTGCTTTGGCAGGGGGTTGGACTCAATGATCTCTGGAGGTCCCTTCCAACCCCTATGATTCTGCAATCTGGTGATTCTGTGAAGAAAAAAAAAACTCATATCAGATGTTTTTCCCCCTGAAGCACTGCTCACAGGTGAGCATTAAATTATTATTATTTCATCATGTTTCTAACGTGCACAGGCAGAAACAGTGGCTATTGCTGAATGTTTTACTATTGCTGAGTGTTTTACTTCTATTTTAGAAGATAATTCTGGATTTGGAATGTGTTTCTTAAATAAGCACAGTCATTTTGTCTATTTTTTATGTGTCCCTAACTATGGAAGAGTCGTGTTGTGTGGTCAAATGTCCAAGGACAGTTTTCTCTTAAAAAGTGAATTAAAAGGAATGAATATTAGAGCAGAGTGTTTTGCTGAGCACTATTTTTGACAGAAAGTTCTGATAAATAGGCAAACTTATATGACGATTTACTCATGTTTAATTGTAGCTTTTTCTTTAATCATTATAGCTTTGAGGTCTGGCGTGTTATTTTGGATGTTCTGCTGGAAACGTATGGTAGTCAAAAGAAAAAGTGAATAAACAGGTGTTTTGTTTTGGTACTAGACCTCAAAGAGCCTAGGCTGCATTCTAGGACTATTTTACATAAACATTTCTCTTCAGATATTACAATAAAAGTTAATGGGGTGGTATGATAACAAGCTTTGTGAGCAATACCTGAGACATTCTCCTGTGGATGAATAATAATTTTTCCTTTCTAGTGTCATACCAATTTTGGCAATTTACTTATTATTCTCCTATCGAGATGACTTTACATTCCTTTTGGATATATATCACCACCTGCAACTTCTTCCAATACATCTTTTCACTTTATGAGGTTCTTGTCAAAGAATCTCCAAATTTCTGTCCTTACTTTTCCTTTTCACACTTCCAATGACACAGCACTATGGTGAAACTATTGGAAAGGACAAAATATAAACGTGGTAACACTGGGAGGATCTACTCCCGCATCATTTTGGTGATGCTTTGGGGGATATAAATGTCATGTTATGTTCCTAATCTTGAAAAACTTTCTAGCAAAATTGCCCCTTTACAGGTCCCTTCATTACAGAAAACGAGATTTCAATAATAGTTACAAAACAGCCTTCTTGGAATAAAATTAGGTAAAATTGCACCTTTGTCACAAGATGTAATGTGCTGAATTCATTAGCTTTTGTATTTCCTTCATGACAAATTGGGAGTGCAATGCAAAGTTCTGTATTAATATAGTAACAACTTCTTTTGATTTAATATCAATTTTTTTTTTTTTAATGAGTTTGAGATAATTGTATCTGTACACAAAAGTATCACTGAAAAGTATTTTTTTCAACTGTCATAAACTTTATGGACTGTACAAGGTTGCACTGGCAGTCAAGCGATTCGCTCACTTGAGCAAAGTTTGAATGCGTGAGATATGCTGTTAGATCTGTAGTTGGTAAATGACCGATTCTTTATCAGTACTTCATTAATAACAAAGTTCAATATTAACTATAAGATGAACTATTTGCCAAATCTTGGCAGAGGGCATGCTAATGTTTTGGGTTTTTTAGGTGTTTTCCTCAGGGTGGTAGTCGCTATGAAAGTATTTCCCAGCTTAGCTTGGTCTGGCGTAACCCTTAACTCTCCTATTCATTCAAGGACAGAGGTAGAAAGAGTGAACAAAGTCAAATTAAATGCTGTGAAGCATTTGATGGGCTGCCTTTTCTCTTGGTGATGTTTGTTTCTCTGACATCGTGGGTGCAGCTAACAGCCCAAAAAGATGCTTAAGATGCTTACAACAGCTGGAAATTATTAGAAGTGGCTCCAAAACCTGGTACAGTTTTTACACATTCACCTAAAACACACACTTATGCCCTTTACACCTTGAGGTATTAGTGCTGTCATTCATTAACCAGGAGCCTCATGCATCTTGCAGCTCATCTGAGCTTCTTTAATATCATTGTCACCGCGAGGCTCAGTGCCATGATGTTTTGCATTGCTCTGCCCATTAATATAAGCTGTTTTTTGCCTTGTTCTTAAGATTTGTTTACCCTCTCCACATGACAAATCTCCCTTCACAAATATATCATCCCATGGCCACTTTATTTCCATTTTTTTTCATTTATTTCCATAAGACACACTTTCCTTTAAACACTCTTGCAAGCTACACTATTAGCGTATCAAATCTTTTTAACACTGAATTTCTTGACACGGACTGTCATTAATATCAATCAACAGAGTGGAAAAATATGATAGTTACTCAGTATAGGATAGCCTACTGCAATAACCAGTGCTTTCCTCTTCAAAATGAGAGCTGAGCTCCCATCCTGCCTCCAGCTAAATGCTCCTGGCCGTTAACTATCTCCATGCTGCACATGAAGGCCTGAACAGGGTCATGATCTGGGGTGAACTATTCAACCATGTGTCCCATAAAATCAGCTGTAGACAATGCAATGCCTCCTATAAGAGAAAAGATAGGTAAGACACAGAGAGAGAATGGAAGGGCAGGAGCAGGAGAATCAGCCAAGCCAAGGAAGAACCTGGTCCCATTATTTTCATTGTAGCACTGGCAGCCCCCAAAGCTTTGTTCCAAGTCTTGCAATATTTAATGTTTTCATTTAGACTCCCACACAAGATTACCAGTGATTACAGGAATATAATGTTTTTGGCATTTTATTTTATTTTTCAATTTTTAAGCAAACTGTGGTGATTAGAGAGAAAACTGTAAGAATTATCTGAACAGAAACCTTAAGGGTTTGTAAGGATGGGAGCTGAGCACTTAATACTGTATCAAAATGGGAGCTGAAGAAATTGAGATTCTGAACTCATATTATGCATGTTTTTCAGTTTTTATTATTAACTCTTTGCCTTTTTAAGATAAAGATCCTAAGCCTTTAATAGTTTTGTTTTGTATTGTGGACATCTATAATTTTTACTGAAAAAAACCAAAAAACAACAACAACAAAAAAAAACACCTGCAGAGTATAATGCATCTGAATAAGTAAGAAAGCTGGTTAGGAATCAGTACATGATATATAGTATTATAATACTTTATAATATAGGTGTATAAGTGTATATAGTATAATACAGTATATAATCACGATGGCTTTGCTTTGTTTCCTGCTCAATAGCAGCAAGAAACACAGATGCTGGCTGGAGGATCAGCTGCAGGTAGGGCAAGGGAAGTCATAGAAACAGTGAGCAGACAAGTTTTGACTGAAAACAAAAATACTCAGAGGGGCCAAAACAGTAATTTCATTCAGTAGTTGCTTTCAGAATTGTCTTTTCCTCACTCTAAAGGCATGGAGACTGCCAAGCTTCTAGCTTTCAGTAATGCCTTCATTTAATGAGCAGACAGCATTTCTTGAAAAAGTATCTAATCTGTGTTAGGTTAGTTTTACTCTGTGCATTCAGATATTTGAGGAGAGGTGGAGGACCTGAAGAAGTTGGGGGGAATAATGGCATAGGGACAGCTATTGAGCCTTGGGTGCCCATGAAAGCTCTCAGTTATCCCCTTTGGAGCATCCCAGGGATAAAAGCAGAGCAGCTTGGATGTGTTTGAACTTCTGTGTGCCATCAGCATCTAGCAATTAGCTGGAAACATTGATTTTCCTTTTTCCATCTTCATTTATAGGTGGCAAGGGATATCCTAAAATTCATATTCCAGCTGCAAATGACCAGTTCAAATAATTTGTAGGATGATTTGGATTTCTAAATATCACTAATGCAATCTCATGACTGTTGAAAGAATGAAGAAGACAACAGGTTTTGATCAAATAACTATGTAAAACTTATTTTGGTATTTCCATGTTTCGAAGCATGAATAGCCAGAGAAAATATGGTTTCCTTCAGGCAAGGTTGAAATTCCTTTCTCAGCTGCAAAGACAGATAACGAACATCAACGATGTGTAAGATTTGGCTCTTCTAGGATGTACCAGTTACTAGTTTGAAGAATAGCAGTTACTAATTTACAGATATAACCAAGTGATTTACATTAGTGATTATGGTTCAGACTATTGTGATGTTTATTCAATTTACAGTGGGTGCTTTTTCTGTTTCTCCTTTCTATCTTCACTAACTGTGGACAAGCAAGAAGTATAAATAAAATATTCTGTAACTGATTTGAGGTCTTATCATCTATCAGATCATCACAGGCACATGAGAAGCAAGTTCTGCTCTGACTACAGTAAAATGTTCAGCAGTGATTGCTATATTGCTGTAATTTAGAGATTCACAACAACTTATTTGCTTGCTTACAATAAGAAATGCAGAATTTCTTCCTCTTTCTACAGTGTACGTTCAGCTGGAAGTGCTATCATTGTAGTCACCATTTTGGCTTTTACTGGGCTGGAGCTTGAAATAACAACTCATAAATAACTCTTGGATTCAGCTTCAGGGTATGTTTGTTGTCTTTGTCATAATTTGTTGGCTCAGAGGTGTTATTAGAACCAGGATGATGGCCCACAGTTTAGGCATGCAGAGACTTATTTAGCTATGAAAGGGCAGAGTTTATACAATGTCTAATTGCATTGATCTTAGAACTGGACATACTTTGAAAACGAACTTCAAGCATGTTCTGCTTCTTCATGACAGTGAAATTATTCTACTGAAGTTATTTCTCTGACTGGTTAATAAACAAAGTAAAAATCTTTTGGCTGCCAAATGCTATAAAATGAAAAGTACTTCTATTTGAGACCAAGTTCTCACACAATGTTATCTCTAACTGTGATGCACTTCAGGAAAAGGAGACAGCTCTGAAGGAATTCATATCTGTATTCTTCAAAGTCCACTGAGAAAATAAATGTTTGCAATGTATTTCCCAAGGATTTCTCAATTCTTTCTCTTGACCATGTTTACATTAATCTCAGTTCAGTACATGAAGAACATTCCAGGGTAAGTATATTTTACTTTTTATTTTTTCTTGCTCAGTTCATCTTTAAAATTGGCTACTTTTTTATTATTGTTATCATTATTTTCTTCTAGATATAGGAAGGGTTTTTTTGTCCTTTTTGGAAACCTGTAACAAGTTGTACAACTTAACTGTGTCATGCCTTCATGCTCAGGTCTGCAGCTGCAATAACAATCTCCTAGGGAGCTCAGGTAAGACTTCTGCCTAGAAATTTCCATAAAAGAGCTGTCTCACACAGGCTTTCAAAGTCTCTGGTGAATATTGTGTTCACTGAAGCTTTAAAGAGGAAAAAGATGCCTATGTTGTGACAAGCATTTGGTTTCTAATAGACATTAATGAACTTTCTGAAAGTATTTTCTCTGTTATCCCTTTCCTTACAGAACTTGGGGCTGCCAGTAGAAGACCAGAGGGTGGTGGTGCAGTAAGCAAACTGTACAGTGAACACATCAGTTGTTCCATGCCTTCACTGATGTCTTAGCAAAGTGCTGAAGAAGTGATTAAGATGTGCAGTGAACTTTTTCAGGTTGAATTCAAGCTCATAATGCTTACTTTGTTTGGTAGTTTTGAGAGAAGATGAGAGGCCTTTATCCAGATTTCTATGTCCCCATCTGATAAAGACAATAAGGTACAATACATAAAAAATGAAGAATTATCAGCCTGACTTTTCCTCTACTCATATTTAAACACTTCCCAGGTCATTTAATAATTTCATACGTATCAAGAAAGAGAGAGCATGCACTGACTTAGTCTCAGAGTATAAGATACTATTGTCTAAACAGGGTGTGCTTGTCTCCAGCTTCTGCTTTAACACTGTACATTTATTCACAGAGCCCCACATAACTCACAGAGCCCCCCATTTTCTCTACAATAGTTGGAAATGTGCTGTAATATTTCACTTGGCACTTTTTGTAAGTTGGGCCTGTTATATTGGAGTTTCTAAAGTCTTATCTTTTTAAGTGTGAAGAGGACTTTATCTATCTATATCTCTATATAGACATTTTCATTTGAACACTGCAATAGGTCTGTTGTGATTTCAGTGCCAAATAAGATGATTGTGGAGGGCAGGAATATCATCCATGTGATCTGCTTGTTAATTGATGGATGGATTGTATGGTGGGTTCCCAGGAGTCCTCGAAGAGCTATGCTGAATTTGGATGGGTTTTCTGCTTGTGTGCATCTGCCTCATTAGTTTGCCAATGTGTCCAGAAATTCTTGGGAGGAAAGTCATTACCAGTATAAGCTGACTTACTGCAGCAGAGTTACAGCAGGAACAGGTTGGGTCTCCTGCCAACAAACCTTGCAGTTGTGTCACACAGAATCTGAGACACCAAAATGTTGATTTGGCCAAATTATTTGACTTTTGCTCACTTAGGATATCTGTTTTTGTTCTTTTTCCTCAAGAAAAAGTTAGCCATTACCCTATGTGAGCAAGACCTGTAGTGTTCATATATATGCATATATATTTAGATAGAAACAATAGCATATCTGTGCCTTGCTGTTTGGAGATGCCCTGTACGTGATCCCTTTGTTGCTGTTCCTGAGAAAGAAGCTCAAGCATGGGAGCAGCTATGGGACACTTCAACCATAAGTCTCCATGGAATAGCAATACAGTGATTCTTTGGAAAGACCAGACCCTATGCAGTTCTCTAGGTAAAAAGCTGCACACGTTGCTAATCAAACCATTCTAAGCATCTGCAGAATCATCATCTTCATCATCCATATGGAAGAAAAAAACATGAAGCACACAGATGATGAATGTGGTCTAATCACTACCTGATATCCAGCTAATAAGTAACTGAGCTGGGAGCAGAGAACAGACTTTAGGTCTTCACTCTGAACAGGAATGTGCACTTCAGTACACAGAACAGTGATAAGGACTGATATCTCCTACTGAAGGAAGACAGTTGTACCTTTCAGATCTCCTTACAGAGAAGGGAGAAGACACAGCTGGCAACTGCCTTGTAATGTGCAGAACGTAAATCAAGCAAGTTTCTTTTTTCCCAGGCTTGGGGGATGAGTATTTCAGAATGGGATTTGCCACAGCTGCTTCTAGAAAGTGTTTGGCCTTCTTTATTCCTTGAGCATGGCCATGACTTCACTGAAGAGCTCCCATCTTGCTGAAGTGATATTTCAGAGTGGTTTCACCCATGTAAATATTACATGCAGGGAATACAGGAGAACCAGCATGTTCCTCTTGGATCTTTGATAGATGTCCTTCCATGACAGTTCCTGCTTCTTGGATTTCAATACAACATTTTGACCTGAAAGCTCTGTTGTAGACAAATTAAAACACGTTAGGCTGGGAAACCTGCTTGGTTAACCCTCTTGTGAGACCTCACTGTTCAGTGCTTTTATGTTCTCAAATTGCACAGAAAATGTGTACTAGTTGATTGATAATACCAGATTGTAGCACTATGAATTCAGGAAAGCACTTAAACAAATGGCTGTGTAGATGGCTGTGTGATTGCAGACATGTTTAAATGAAACACATGGCCATATGCTTTGCTGAACTAAGTACTTTCCTGGAACAACTAAATTAAATTTGGAAAACAGAGATAAACAAACAAGACCTCCAGAATCATTGCTGTCTTCATAATTTGTGTGACACTGTTGTGTCTCAGTGTGCACTCATAAAGAAGTACATTTTGCAATATTAAGAGGGATGTTAGAATTAGATTTTTAGAGCTTGTTTGCACATGTGCAGACGTACATGGTGTTGTTACAGTGAAATGGAGAGGCTAAGATACCTGAATACCAGGCTGCATGTTAAAAACAGTCATTGAGAGTGGTGGCATTCATCTGTGTAGAGGAGAATGGTTCCAAGAGAACCATCTTGCCTTCTAAGAACCGACTTGGGAAAAAAGAGCCATTTACTTTTGTGCGGTCACTTCTCTTACCTGCATTTGCCAGAGGGAAGGAAAATATTTAGGAAATGGAGTAAATTTATGTTGCAGGAGATACCCAGCACTTACACATTTCTAACGCTATAGCAGCATTTGGATTTATTATGTTAAGTAAACTGATACCATTAATTCATTATGATGATAAGAGTCACAGTGATTAGTCTACTGCATATTCAAGCTGCTAAGTAAATTGACTACCTTTAAAAATTAAAGTTTTGCTTGCCAACAGGGGTAGTTAGTGAAGATGTTTCAACCTTGAACATTGACAGAAGTATCAGCCCAGCAGGAGATCATTGCTTTGCATCCTACCTCTTCAGTCAGGGGTGCTCACTTGAGCTTCTGTCTGCTGTAAGATAAAGTGATTGATTCATTTTCACACTTAGAATTCTTATCATATTTCTCTCAAGTTCTGATGCAATTTGCTATTTTCCCATAAGGAATTTCAGTGGTCACCTGTTTTATCTAGGACTGTAGCCCTCTTTGCTTGTGGTCGTGGCTGTGAGCGCTGGTGCGCTACTGTCACTGTCAAGAAATGGCCATGCTGAGGCTTACAAAGGTTCACAAGCCTTAGCAAGTCGTAGGTCAAGTGCAGGAGTTGAGGGCATCCATCACAATTTGTGAACAATTCAAATCTATCTCAGCCACCTTCACTTTACTGAGAAATAATTTCTAAGTACTCTTAACAGTATGAACCAAAATGTTTAGTTTGGAAAGTAGAGATTTAATGTCATGATTACATCTGTTGTAACAAAAAGTCAAAATTCAATTAAATATTAAGGCTGCATACTATGATTGAAGATTCTTCCCTGTAAACTCTCTTCTAGGCTAATCTTTCGTCTTTCTACTGTTGTTTTGACATTTACTGCTATGATCCCATCAAATCTGTTTATATTAATATTAGCATTAGTTAATTACTGAAAATGTTAAATGATCATAAATTTGATTATCTATTAATGATTATTTTAGTAAGTCTTTTTCCTCATTTGAGAACCTTTAATGACTTCATACAGTGATTAAAGCAGAAACAATAGACAAGGAATGTGAAGCATCAAGCGTCTGCTAACAATGATATGAAAAAAGAACAGTAAAGCCATTAAATCATGCAATAAGATCAAATTTATTGGCATTTTATTGCTGCTTTTCTCTCATTTACAGAACCTGCTGAGTGATATAGAACCAAAATATTATTAATTAACCAGCTATTACTTGGCTACAATAACCACAGTAACTAATTTTAGCTCAGAAAGTTTCTGCAACCTGCCTGTAATTATGTATGTGCCTGCCATTGGTAGATTGGTTAGCAAACAATGCAATGAACTGATAACAGCAGAGAATAAAACATTGGTTTTGAGACTGAGCTTTACAACCAGGATCAGCAGATGAAGGAAGCAGAGGGGCTTTAAGGTACGTCATCCCATTTATTCTATCTGTGTTACTGCAGACCTTCCCTTTGCTGCTGAGCCCAAGTCGCACAGCAAAAGTTGCATTTATGAATTATAAATTATAAATCCTTGTTTTAGAAGCCTCAGGTTGTGGAGGAGACCTTGAGAATGGAAAAGCTGAAATACAACGCTACGGATGTTTGCATGGTTGTGGGGAGAGTGGGACGAAAAGAATTTTAATATTCTTCTTTATTCTTAATATTTAATATTTTGGTTTTCAGAAAAATAAGCTTTACTTGTTAGGGCTCCCAGCTGATGAGTATTCTGACAATGCTACAGGAAACCCAGAGGAGGAACTGCTGGAATATAATTTTCTTATTGTAGAAACAGGCCTTAAATATGTGCTTTTAAATATACAGGAAAGTGGTAGGTTTTAAATGTGTTACTTCCCTTAGGAGGTAACTATAATCATAACAATAGCTACTAATTTTGATATTAATGGAGAAAATGTGAATAGCACTATGTTATTTTAAAAAGCTTAGATAATAATCACTGTAGAATCACAGATAGGTTTGGGTTGTAAGGGATATTAAAGCCCATCCAGTTCCAACCCCTGCAATGGGCAGGGACACCTCCTAGCAGCTCAGGCTGCCCAGAGCCCCATCCTGCCTGGTCCTGAGCACACCCACAGTGCCAGGGCCTCACTGCCCTCATAATAAAGACTTATTTTTCCTAATATCTGAATAAATTTACCCTCTTTTAGCTTAAAGCCATTACTCACTGCCTCATCACTATATGACTTTGTAAAAAGTCCCACTCCAGCTTTCTTGTAGGCTCTCTTTTAAGTACCAGAAGGCCACAATAAGGTATCCCCAGGCTGAACAAACCCAAATCTCAGCTTGTCTTCATAGGAGAGGTGCTCCAGCCATCTGAGCATCTTCGTGGCCCTCCATAAAGGAGGGTACATTTATCTAAGTATCAGCTTTATTGTTCTGGAGATTGCTGGTGTTTCTTTACTGTTTTTGTCTGTTCATTCTGGTGGCTGTGGGATTTCCAGGAATAAGGGTGGTGCTGGGATAATAAAATATACTTGTAGGAAATTTGTCAGCAACGAAGGAAGTGCATTAGATTAACAGTGTTTTTTTACAAAATCAAACCAAACAACAAGCAAAAAGCCAAAAACTCATCCCAGAAGTTTTTCTAAAGTATTTTTCTTTTAAGTCCTCACTAAAGCTCTTGAGAGTGCTTTCAGGTGCTAGTGCAATGTGCACACACAGCTGCATTTTCTTACTTGGTCTAAAAAGACGTTTTTCTGTATTTAATGCTGTTTTATAAAGTTAAATATTCTTAACCAACTGTGAAATGCAGTTGCTGCTGCCAATGTATATCGATCTGCATGATGGAGATCAGTTTTAATTAGTTTTCCTGCTGGTGTGCAGTTCAACATTAATGGTCTTGTGTTGCTCTTTCTGGTGCTTCAGTAAAATGTAAGAAACTTTATAAATAACCTCAGGAGAAAATTCATATTTGCGTATTTAGAAGTGCTTTAGTGGGAACAAAACACATTTCTCAGTGGTTGACCATGAGTGTAATAATGCAGTAATCTGTGTGAATTATCTGGAATAGGAGATTTATTTTTAATCCTAGGATTAGGAGGTATGGTTTAAAACCTAAATAATGTATGAAAATATAAGAACTGAGAACTAATACTGTAGCTTATAGAGTTTTTCAAGCTATTGCTTTTGTTTTCCTCATGCCAATGATGTTCCTCTTGACCTAGATGGGCAAGAGGAAATTCAGTGGCCTGGAAATCACTCTCATTGCCCTCTTCTGCCTGGTGGTGGTGGTGGCCATTGTCCTCATTGTGCTTTTAGCAACAGGAGTACCTGCAGTCAGAACTACAGGTAAGTACTTCTCACCTCCAGGACCAGAGGCAAAATCCTCGGTGGTAACTGCTCAGCTCTGCTTGCTGAGATGTTCACAAGTGCCATAGTACTCCTGTTGGAATTGCCTGTTGGCATCATTTAAGTCGTTGTTGAGATTAAACTTTTCAA